CAAATGGTGCTTCTCCAGCTGTAGAGTGGGAGATTCCGGGACAACCGGTGTCTGAAATGCGTGCGGTGACAGGGGGCTTGTCCGGTGCAGTGCAGCCAGGTAATGCTGGCACCTGATCCCTATGGATTTGTCTAACTTGAGCTTTTTGCCATTTGCAGTGGTCTGTGCCGGTGATCCAGCCACCCCTCAGCCTTCTCTTTGATAAGCTGAATAACTTGCACTTCCTACGCCCTTATTTTATGTCTTGTTATGCACCTCCATTATTTTTATGTTCCTCCTTTGAATTATTTCTAGCTGTTTTCCCCTCCTTCCTAACCGTGGGTGCCAGAAATGGTGCAGTGTTCCACTGTTACTGGGGCAAAGGCAGCATCACCCCCCCCATCTCCCCTACATATTCTGTATTTTACACATTAAAGGATTAAATTAGTCCAGTTTACCACAGTATTGCTCTGAGAGGTCATGTTGAAACATTTATATATATAGTAACAGCTAAATTCTTTTCCGAAGTACTTTTTGCCAAGCTGGCCCTGATCCCTGCATTCTTTATTTCCAGATGCTTTTGCTTGCATTTTCTGACATTAAAATGCCTTTGATTGGACTAGGATGATTTAATTAGGCACATTAGATGATTCTGTAACAGATTAGTCATGTGAATTATCCATGCGTCTACTAAGCTACAGATTTTACTACTAAAGATCTTAAATCATCTAGACAATCAATAGAGATACCAAGTAGGATCAGAGCAAGAACTGATCTGTAGAAAACTGCCTGGGTCACCGATGTCTCCTCTTTAGCAACTACTTTTTGAGTTCTCTCAGGGAAATCCACTTAAGGTGTGGTTTAGGCATTCTAAACAGTATGCATTACAGCATTTAAAAGACAGAGCAAAGTTTTTAAACAAATGTCAGGGCTATTTCTCCTTAAGTTTTTGAGACTAACTCAGGACAATTCTACAAGGTTTTCACTAAGCTTCTGCTTGTTTTTTAGCTTTCTCCAATAGAGAGGTTCAGTGCCTCTCGCTTCATTAAAGATACTTAAAGTGGATACAGAATCACTGCCTACATGGGATCAGACTATTCGAGTCTGACAAACAATGGGAGCTATACACAGATCCCCTAGGACAGGGTCTAAAAGGAACAACAATAACCGAGCTGGTTTAGGCAGAACAAAAAGTAGACACAAGAATTAGAAGAAAAAGCCTGAATGGCCACCAAATCCAGTATTCACAAATCCTTGCAGCAGGCTGTTTTTGTGAAGCCTCCTAAAAAAGTTTTTAAATTACTCTGAATTTACTCTAACTTCCCATATGTGTTAGAAATAATGAAAAAATTAAAAATCAGTAAAAACTAACACCATTGAGTTTTAAGCCTATGGACAGTTTTCTTCTTCCCATGGACATAACTCCTGCTGAAGGTATGCAGACCTAACATCTGAAGGTTTTTAATGTGTATCAAGTATAGAAGCTAAATAATCTTTGGTCACAGTGATGAGTTCATACTTTGAGAAACAGAGTGACAGCAAAGAACAATAAATGACATTTAATGTGTATGCACTTTACCAATTTTAATGTAATGGAGATTAAGAGATTTGTATAATTTGTCTACTTATTAATCTGATAACTGGTTTAAATAACAACTCTGTACCTGAAAACATAAATATATATTAGATTCATATGTATCAAGGTTGATAGATGTAGGCAATAACTACAATCTATTATTGTATTTCAAAAGCAATAGTACAAATGATGATGATGATGATATACTCACCCAGCAATTTTCATTGGTAGATCTCAAAAGACCTTGCAAAGGTCAATGCTATCATCCTGTTGTTGATGATGGAGAAAGGAAGTATTGAGAGGAACTTGCTCAATGTCATATGCCAGACCGGCGGTAAAGTTAACAATTGACTTCAGGTTTTCCACATCCAGGATTAAAGGTTTTCTCTCGCTAGCCACATTACACACTCATATTCCAGTGGCAGTTCTTTTCATTAGTGTTCAGTATCTTGTGCATATATTTATCTGTGTTAGAACCCAGAAGAGCAGTCAAGACTTTTCTGGTTGTCCCTTATAGGCTTCACCATAAAACATTTTTAATTTACAGGCTCCACTGAAACCCTGTATTGCCACCTGTGAAAAAATTCAGAAAAAAAGTCTGAAATCTTGTGTGAAAAACCCACAAATAAGTTAGTATTTCAGTATGAAAGGACAAAAAGGTGGCACAGATGCAATCCCAGCCTAAATCTGCAGATCTAAGTAAAACTACTAAATGTTTATTTATCAGTTCTGATCATGCTGTGCTTAATAGCTGAAAGCAAAGTTCACTTTGTCACTTGTGTTTTCCTCAATCCTCAGGAAAGCTGTCCTGGTCTGAATTCATACCATTGCAAGCTCAGGGCTCATTGACTTTGGGGCCTTTCTGGAAGCAGAGTCTCTCCTGAAGGTACTCACGTTCACTCGCATCCCACCCTGTGACCTTATTCTAGAAGCGAGTAAGTACCTACATCAAACTCCCTATGACTGTCAACAACCCAGTCTGGGTGTATCTGTCCTCAGAGCTACAACCCCTTTGAAGCTCAGATCAGGCCTTTGATGTAATTATTTCATACCCTGAAACACAATATAGCAGAAACGGGCTGAGGCAGCCCAGAAGCAGCCCATGGACTATCCAATACCAGAGACAACGTCTCCTGTCCGCTCTGGCATACCCGGCTACAGGGCTGTGTTGAAGGTGACGTGCCTCTAGCACCCGTTACCGCCTCTGGAAACACCCCCAGGCCCGGGCCTCCGCACGCAGTGGCGGCAGGCGACGGGCCCCAGGGCCGGGCGGGAAGCAGGAGGCCACGGCCTCCCTCCTGCCGACGGCCAGGCCCGTGGGGGAAAGGGAGAGGGCGGCACCCACCGGGCACCTGTGTGCGAACCAGCCAATGACAGCTTGAGGAAGAGAGGCGGGGAATCCGTCCTCCAATAGAGC